ATGGGAGTCGCGAAATCCTGCAATGCATTGGGGCAGATTGACCTTGCGAGTGCCCTCGCGCTTAGCAAGCGCCGTCCATGGCGGCATTTCATCCACCCAAGTACCCACATCGTCGGTAATCGCCCTGGCGCACGGCAACCTCCCCACAGAAGTTAATGCGCGGGAAGCCTTCCTTGCAATGCTCGTACCACGTGTCGTGGTTGACCCTTTTTTGAAGTAGGATGGTAGCCCAGCAGTTCTGCAGCTGGGTTGTAATATTGCTCTCACAAAGCATACGTCTACAGAATGCATTACTGCATCCTGGACCCCCTTGTTGCCAAGGTCAACGTAAGACGTTTGTCGAGGTTACCCCCTGAGGGTGGACCCCGGCAAAATGCTAATTGTGAGATCCCCCGTTGCCTCCGCATAGTTTCAGCATGTCTACCTCGTTGTTTCGTCGGTAGCATTGTGTTGGTAGTATGGAAAACACATCTGCGCGTGCAACCGCAGGTAGCCCCGCCAGTAGTGACACGAAGATGACCTCATGTTCATCACTGTCGGATTCCAGAGAAACATCGGTGTGTGCGCTCCACATCCAAGGCCCTTTAGGTCTTCGCCGCAATCGTCATTGCCGTCTTCGACCTTTGCGGGTATCTTGCGTGGTTTGATGCTGGTTTCCATGTAAGCTTTCTGCTCTTCTTTTTGTTGTATCTGGGAGTTGCGGGTGTTGCGAGTGTCGGAAATTCTGGAAGTGCCGTCTGTTGTTGCTCACTGTCGGGCCTTGTGAGTGTCGGAAATTCTGGAATAGGGGGGTAGCGCGCGGCCACGCTCAATCGCAGGGGGGGGGAAGCCGATCGTCATCGACGATCGCAACCCGCCTTGGGCGCGGTCGCTGCTCGCCATCGCTTGGCAGCGGGGCCGGAGGCTCCCAGCACAGTCGAGTGCTGGTACTAGTCACTCCACTCGGCAATGGAGCCATCCAGTTGCATCCAATGCGTTAGCCCTTGACATCGATGCCTTGCACGATAGAGTCATCGCCCCGTTGACGGCCATTTTCGGGAAACTGGACGTATGTCCATGATCATGTATCAACTCGGGTGCGCACGCTGATATGCACAACAGTTTAATCGTCTCTCTGGGTTTTGTGCGTGTCGATCTGGTCACGCAGTCGCGTGGCCATGATGGCGATTGTCCTGTTTCGCCATTCCGCCCTCTGGGCGCCTTGGCCGTGCCAGTCCAGCTCGCGTTCGGCTCGTTCAGCAGGCCCCCCTGCGACTCGGCACGCGGGCGCTTCCACGGGTGACCTGGGATGCGCGCGCACGTCGATGCCACCTGGAAATACGAGCCACTTGGCGAACGACTCGAACGATCGAAGCTGGGCCCGAAATGACAACATCGCATTCGCATAACTTGTAGGCCTAAGTCTTAGATAGCATCGCGCATGGGCCCTAGTTTCCAAATGTAACCCAGGGGTCACATAAGAACGACAGACATGCGCAACGCCCGAGCTTTAACCATAAGATTATGGATGCGCTAGCAGCGTGGCGCCGCCCGCTTACAAGGCAATCGCACATGCCAATCAGCAGGAGTCGCCGCCCATAGTAGTTGATAGTCCCCCGACAGTAGTCCGCCCAAGTAGCGTGTACCCATGTAGGTCATGACCTCTGCGCACGTTATACGATCGCACATATATCCACGGGCTCGGGGTTCAGCGCAAGCTGTTCGAATATCCTCAGCGACGAGAGCACGAGACTGAGAATGATGGGATGGGCGATATGTCCCATCAGCGGCCAACGCGGCAAACGCACGGGACGCGCTGCCGTCCCAGGCGCTCACAGCCGGCGCCTGGGAAAGGGAAGCAGGTGTCCCCGTGCTTGTAAACAGAACCTCAAGTGTCGGTCCGTCTACGCAAGCGAGTGTTGCCGTAGCACTCGCCTGCCCCAGTCACCCACTCGCGAGCGATTGCGGTGTCCACGTCGCCGACTGACTCGGATCCGCTTCCGGGCTGCAACCTGCAGTACTATCTGGCGCGAGCGGCATCTTATTGCTCTAGGTGCCGGTCTCGTTAGCATGCAAGCCCGCACGGAGCTCGCGCGGCACCTACCGCGCACCTTCATTGTGAATCGCCCGGTAGATCTTCGCCTGAAGCGCCTTCATAGCGATGTCCTGATCTTCAGGCGTCGGCGCGCTACCACACTGAATAATATGGTGGTACCAAGTCGTCAACGCATTGACCACTATGTTTTTCATCGGAAACGTGACCGCGTCCTCCTTGATGCTATGGCTGATGCCCCTGGTGTTCTGCATCATCATGTACGCATGCGCATCCATGGAAACGAGTTACCCCGCGCTGCTCGACGCAGGCGGCCCCGCTGCGGGCGCCGCGTCGATGCCGGGATGGTGAACCCTGTCTCCTTCTCGGTGTCCGTCGCCCCTTCGCACGCATTGGCCTCGATCGCCAGGCGCTCCGACGGCGTCCTCATCAAGTCGATCACCCGAGCGTCCTTTCCAAGGAGAGTTTTGCCCATGCGCTTGCCTGGGATGACCATCTTCTCGTCGCCGGTCTCCAAGATCAAGATGGCGCGCATGGGCGATATGCCCCCCAGGCCACGGATAGCGGGCAGGCCCTCACCGGACCCTTCGGCCACGTTGGCTGAGTAGGTGTCCAGCTGCGAGGCAGCAGGCTGTCCCACAGGGCTACCCCTGCAACTGCAGGCGAGTTTGTAGTGGCCCGACGTCCTGCACAGCGCAGCTCCTTAAACCACCCCAGTCACGAATAGTGGATTGCGCAAGTGTTACCTTTTCACGCTGCGCCCGCGGGCACGCGAGATCTGCTCGAACATCTGCGCCGTCTCGAGGCCGATGATGTTGATGTTGCTGCCGATGTTCAGCAGGATCGTTAGCATGCCAGCGATCATGGCGCCGCTGTTTGCCGCCAGGGCCAGCTCGCGGCGCTCGCCAGACTAGCCCTACACCATCGTTACCGCCGTACCAATCGCGCCCTTCAGGCGCCTCTGCTCCAGGAATCATTCGTTTTTTCGCAAGCGTGTGAGCACACTCATGTAGACCCGTGACTCATCCTCTGTGATCGGGAATTGTTGGAGGATCCGATCACCTGGGTACTCACACCATCGGGGGGATTGCAGGGTCAGTGAAATTTTCTGGAGGGCACCCTCTTCGGCGCGCATCGTTGACTGGCCATCGGTATTGACCATCAACACTGTCTGCAGCATATCACGCACAGACATGGCACTGGCGGCACTGCGCGCGCTGACAGGGCTGCCACCGCGGCGCTGACGCAGCGGGTTACCCCGCATCCTCCCGTAAGCCGCACTGGCCCTCTCCATGCGCCTATGCCACGCGTCATTAGCAGGTAGCCCCGCGGTTGTCGCGGCTGCGTTACATCTGCAGCTGGCTCAGCCATCAGCGGCAGCTGCGAAAATGCGGCCGGCAGCCCTGCAGGCGGCGCCAGCCACGCATAGCGGTAGAATTGCCGTTGGCACCGGCACTTCATGCTCGGCAGGTTGCCCCGCAAGGGACGCAGGTGACCCCGCTGGCGCCGCGGGCCTCGCCATCATGGCTGTGGGCCGCGGCACACAGCACACGGCGCCTCATTGGGGGCTCTCCCGATCTGCCGAACGACGTGCGAATGAGCCACTCTGCCCCAGCATAATGCATGGAAAACGCGAAGCACAGGAGCCTCCAGATCTTGTCGCGGCACTCGAACTCCTGGAGGCTGATCGCGCAATTCGTGAAGTCGTCGTCGCTGATGAGGGGAAGTGCGGCTGCTGGCCTCGCGCGCCTCTGCCGCTCGAACGCGGCCTCGCCCATCCCACAGCGGCTCGGCGGCGCCCCTGGGCCCAGCTGCATTGGAGCAGGTTGCCCCGCAGCTGCAGATCCAGAAGCAGGTGGCCCCGCGCCACGGCCCATCTCACGTCGCGCCCGTCGCGCCCGGTTACGTTGCTGTCGCGCACACTGGGCCGAGAGGTTCGCCTGGTGCGCTTCGCGCATTGCCAGTATCTCAAGGCGAAGCTCGCCCAGCGACAGCGGGACCGTCAGCTCAGGACCGCGCGCGGCGACGCCCAGGTCCATCGGTGGCGCCAGATATCCGCAGCGCGGAACCTGTTCAGGGACCCCTGACTCGCATCCTGCGCCTCGCGTGAGCTGCGATCGGTAGAAGTCATCCGCCGTTGCCCTGTCAAGGTGGTTCTCAGGCTGATTGCCAAGGCGATCTACCCCGGTGGTCTGTGCTAAATGATCAAGGAACATTGCCGGATCCATCGCCGGAGCCACCGGCCTGCTGGCCGCCGTCGGGTCGCACGCCGGGTGGCTGGAGAACGCGGGTACGTACCCATACCTGCTCGGATGGTTCGGCCACGGATTCGCATCTGTCACGCATTCCCAGGCCAGGGTCCAACTGGCGTTTGGCAAGTCGACCCCATCGCATCCCGCATCCCGCATCTGTCGATGCATCCATCGCATCCCGCATCTGTCGATGCATCCACCGTTGCTGCGATAGCATGCTCTCAGCCCACTGAGCCGATTCAGTCATGGGCTGCATGTTACCATGCTGGCCCATAGCCACTGGGTGCCATGTTGGTGGCTGCCCATTCGGCGGTCCTGCAGCACGTGGAGATGCAAATGGCGATGATGCTCGCAGAGCTCGGTGGAATTGTGGGTCCATCCGCATGCTCTGGAGCCTCGCCTGGAGGCTGTTCAGACTCTCGGCGCTTCGTGGTGTTCCAAATGGTGTCGTGGGCCCGCTCATGGGAGCGAATGTCGCAGGCTGCCCCGCAGGAGTTGGCAATTGCTGTGCCTGCGAGCGCCAAGGGTCGTTGGCAAAGAGCCCGTCAATTGGAACTGCGCCGCTGGAGTCAATGCCTGACACGTCTACGCCCTGGGCGTGGATCCAAGATCCGTCTGAGCGGTCTGCAGGTATCCCCGCTGGATTCAATTCCTGAATCATGAGCACCGTTGCATGGTGCACATCAGCTGTGGGTGCAGCTTGCGCGGGCACGCGCATGTTGAACGGCGTCACTGGAGTGATCCAGCCACTGCGCAGCGCGGTCGCGTCTCGGTCGCCTTCACAGTAGTCGGACGGCACTAACGTACGCGTGTTACCACGCTGGTCGTGGATGTACAGGTCGTTCACCAATGCCTGCCCAACTCTGTTCCGTTTGCAATCGTGTCGGTTTTCCACGATGCCAGTGGATTGGACGATGAAACGCGCTGGAATGCGACCATCCACTCCCGAGGTCATGATGATGTCGTTTGCAGACCGCCAGACGGGAATGTCCTCACGGACAAGACAAGACTCTCGAGGCTGACCAGCATCGGAACCTCGGCGTCTGCCCGCATGCCCGACTGCGCGCTTGTCGCCTGGTAAATACGGGCATCCGAGGATCATCGGCCTTCCTGCCTTCCCCTTGGAGTTGTCTGATCCTCGGCACGATAATCCAACCTGTAGCATGCTCGGGACGCTCCTCCACTGCGCCCCGCGCACGAAGAAGCGCGGGACGCCTTCTTCTTTCAGATCGGACATCGGAGAGCACAGTGATTCCGGGCAGCGAATGCCGGGACTGCTGCGCCCATTACTGGGGCGCAGGTAACATTTCGGGCAGGTGTCCCCGCGGGCAGTGCGGGTGGGACTCTTCAGCTGAAGTCTGTTCTTCTGCACGCCAGTGTTGTAGTCGACCAACATCGCAGATCTTCAGCACGACAAGAGCCTGGCACGCCCAGTGTCCGTACTTGAGGTTGTGCTCCAGGTCCTCGAGGAACTTCTCTCGCCACCATCTGCTGCGTCTTGTGCGGCCAGTTTTCGAGCAGGTCCCCGAGGCGCACCCAGCCGTCGCACTCGTCGTACGAGGTAGCCCCTTCCGTGAAGCTTTGGGATAGTGCATCATTGATGAAGGGTTTTTTGTCTGATTGCTGTGGTGAGCCATTCCGAACAGCGTCGCTGCACGCGATTGGACGGTAGCCCAGCCGGCACATTCTGCGCCCTGAGAACCCTTGTCGGCTCGGCAGCCTCACCAGCGCAGGTGAGGACCGGTTCCCGTCGCAGCCTGTTTCGGACCAGCTGGCGATCCAGAGCTCGTGGGCTTCGGCATGTTGCCGTGCTGTCGTGTGGGTAAGTGATGATTCGGTATATGTTCGCGCCGTCGTCCGCTCGCTCGTTGCATGCTAGGTTTACCAGCATCTGCCGGTCGGTGCCCAGCATTCCCCAGTAGCGCCTGCACCTGGCATCCATCTCAAGGATGGGAACATGTTGCCCCGCAGACGCATACGAAGACGCTGCAGGTAACCCCGCACTCTCGCACGGAGTAGGCCTCGGCGCATCCGCTTCGTGTGCGATCGGAATCTTGCGGATGTCCTTGCACTGGCAAGCAGGTCATTGTCCTTCGGAGGCGGCGGGTTTCTTCTTTGGCGCCTCCTGCAGTGAATCGCGATGAGCAGTGGGCCATCCAGCACGGGCGCCCAGCCAGCCCCTCGAAGGGTCAAGCCAGGCGCGGCGCCGCGCGCTGCGACGGGCTGCGTCGGCCCAGGCGCGCTGCTACCCGCAAAGGTTGCAGCAGCCGCCGCAACAGCTGGCCCCGCAGAGTGCTGTCTCCGAGCAGGTTGCCCTGCGGGCGTTTCCTTCGGCGGTCCTGGCAGGGGCCCGTCCACCAGCAGCTCCACGGATCGAGTCGCCTTGCCTCGGTGGCGACACCCAGGGCTTGCACCCTCCCCCGAGCTGGCTCGTTTCTTCGATCTCGGCTGGTTTGGAGACGGAGATACACCTGCGAGACCTATGCCTTCCGACGATCGCTTCGGGCGGCGCGCATCGGCAGGATCAGCAGGTTTCCCCGCACTTTCGCGCGAGGAGTCGCCCATCCGACCTCGCCCCCGTCGATGGACCTTCATGTCCTGAGCCGTAGCACTTGCGATCCAGGTCGAATCTTCCACTGGGCACCTTGCACGCCAGAGTGGTATAGATCCAGCCATTGCGTCGGCATGCCGCATCACGCGTCTTCAAGATGGCGCCCTCCGTGACCTGCGCGCCCGCCTCCACGTCGGCTCCCGCGCGGTCGGCACGGCCGCGCAGCTGGACCCCCCTTCCGACGCGGGCTCGGCAGTGTCGACAGCTGATGCGGGGCGGGCAGCCCCGTCCTCCTTTTGAGCTCCGGTTGGCGGGTTGCCCCGCTCGCCTCGATCACGTCCGTCACCTCCTTGAGAAGAAGCAGGTTGCCCCGCAGAAGCGGCGACACCTGTGCAAGCAGGTTGCCCCGCAGCAGCGACAGTTCCTGGAGCGGCGCGGGCGCGGCGATCCTGGCGCACGCGGCGCGCCCGGTCGCGGTTCTTCAGCCGGCGGTCGCCGGCGAGGTTTTGCCGCTCTTGCACGGCAAGGCCAATCTGGATGTCGTCCAGCTCCTTGTAGTCCGCCTTGGTCAAGCGCTCGCGCCTGGGACTGCAGCCCGGGCCCACCTTCTTCCCCTGGCCGTCACCGTGCGACCAGGCCCAGGGGGTCTCGCCGAAGTTGGGGCTCCTCGAGGGGCGGCCCAAGGGACACATCGGCCCGTGGCGACCGCGGAGCTCGCAACCAAGCGCCACCTGGCGGTAGGCCAGCTGGTCAGCACAGATGCCACCCTTGTGAGCTTTCTTCTCCAGCTTACCAGGTTGTCGGGCACTGCCGACACGGCGGGGCCGAATGGCCTTCCCAGTGCCCGGGCCCTGACGCACAGAATGCAGAGACCAGCACTGGCGCATCTGATGGTGAGCGCAGCCCCTCGCCAGCCAGCGGCCCACGCAGTCCTGCGGCGCGCGTTGACGGGCGACGCCGTCGCTGTCAGCACCGACCCTTTGGAAGCCAGACTCACTCTTGGATTCTTCAGATTCATCATCACTCTGATGCGGGTTACCCCGCAGCTGTGAGCTCGCTGGCCCGCGGCTCGCATCCCGCCCGCACGGGCGTTGCACGCCGCCTGAACGGGCACGCGAACGCCTTCGAGAGTGGCTCCGCCGATGGCGGCACGGCGGACTGCTATCAGCCCCCCACTCTTCGGCGTCGCCAGTACGAGCGACGCGCCACCAGGCATGGCAGCGTGGCGCATTGCTGTCCGTTTCCCACTTTTCGTCGTCGTCGCCGGTCCGATCCACGCGCCCTCAGGCCTTGCGGCGCGCGGGGCGCTCGCGCAGTGCGAGGGCTGAATGGAAGCTCCCATTGCGTCTGAATTCGCCTTGAACCCGCCGGGGGAGATCACCGGAGCCACGCGGGTTACCGCGCGAGAGTCACCATCGCAGGTTAGCCCGCATATAGGATCCCCAATCAGCTGCGGTTGGAGCGCCAGTTGTAGCTCCTCTCCCGTAGCAGGAATCGCGTCGAAATCAGAGTCGCCCAGCTCGCATCCGTCGGAATGTGCAGGTGCCCCCGCCATCTCGCAATGCGAGTCGGCGGCCGACTGGCGCTCGTCCTCCTCGATGATCTCAGGGCAAGCAGTTTGCCCAGCGATCTGGATGACAAACCAATCCGCGAAGTTGGGCTCGCCATGACCGAAGAACGCCTCATCGTAGAGCTCCCCTGCGCACTGCTGGCGGGACACGCCGACGTCCATTTACCTCGAAGCCAGACAGTAACCAGCGGCAGTGGGGGTGTCGGCTAGGAGCGCATCGAAGTCAACATACTGAATCTCTGAATCTGTCTGAGCCAAACGCGTCGTCGGACCCACCCTGCCTGCCCCGTCGCCTGCGGGGCATTCACGACGAAAATGCTGGGCGCCATGGCAAATATCACATTCTATGGCTTTCCACTTGGAATCCTACGGGTTGCCCCGTCGCCCCTCAGCCATTCCCGTGGCACGCCTACGGCCCCATACCTTGACCCAGGAAGATTTCCTCATACTCTGGATCCGTGAGAGACGCCAGGAATGTCAGTATGCCTCTACCATTCAGCCGTCGTCTTTTACCTTTACCCTTTGACCTAAACGCACGTCGGATCACACGCAAAACCCTTCGGACCGGTTTCTTTATGAAACGTCTCCATCGTCGTTTATGTTTCTGATACCTATATATATATATATATACAGGGGGGTGGCCCGGTGGGTTCCCCAGTCGGCCTGAAGATGAAGACTCTATTTGAAGACTCTATTGTTTTGAAGACTCTATTTGAAGACTCTATTCGCCTGACGCTCGATGACGCCTGTGACGCCTCTATTCTGGCTGACGCCTCTATTGGCCTGACGCCCGATGACGCCTCTGACGCCTCTATTCGTCTGACGCCTTTATTCGCTCGGCGCCGTATTTGCCCTGTCGTTCCTATGGGCCAGACGATCGATGATACCCGTGACGCCTTTATTCGGTCTGACGCCTCTATTCGGCTGACGCCCGCTGACGCTCCTGACGCCTCTATTCTGCCTGACGCCTCTATTCGCCTGAAGACCGATGACGCCCGTGACGCCTCTATTCCTCTGACGCCTTTATTCGGCTGACGCCCGATGACGCCTGTGACGCCTCTATTCTGGCTGACGCCTCTATTCGGCTGACGCCCGCTGACGCTCCTGACGCCTCTATTCTGCCTGACGCCTCTATTCGCCTGAAGACCGATGACGCCCGTGACGCCTCTATTCCTCTGACGCCTTTATTCGGCTGACGCCCGATGACGCCTGTGACGCCTCTATTCTGCCTGAGATCCGCTAGGAACCTCCCCAAATGATCTGTCCGCGGCGGGTGGTTTTCCGTGGAGAATCTGGCCCAGATTCCCCACGGGAGAGCATCCGTCGCGGACGGGGTTTTCTGGGAACCCCCCAATGGGCCCTGTGACCAAATTTTCGGGACGTGATTCGTGACACTATGCCCAACGGAATTCCCGGGGCGTGTTCGATGGCTCGACACATGCCAAACGGAATCTCCCGGGGTGGGTCTAGGGGGCACGACGCCATGCGAAACGGGATCTCCCGGGAACCAATTTTCGGAGCGTGATCCGTGACATCATGCCAAACGATATCTCCGGGAGAGGCCCTCATAGGCCCGACACCATGCCAAACGGAATCTCCCGGGGCGGGTCTAGGGGGCCCGACACCATGCCAAACGGAACCTCCCGGGACCAAATTTTCGGGGCGTGACCCGTGACACCATGCCAAACGGAACCTCCCGGGGCGGGTTTTCGAAGCCCCGACACCATGCCAAACGGGAACTCCCGGGGCGGGTTTTCGAAGGCCCGACACCATGCCAAACGGGACCTCCCGGGACCATTACTACCCAAAACTGCAAAAAAACACTAGCCCTGTCCGCGGCGGGGGGTCTCCCGTGGAGAATCTGGCCCCGATTCCCCACGGGAGACCATCCGCCGCGGACGGGGCCCGACACCATGCCAAACGGGACCTCCCGGGGCGGGTTTTCGAAGGCCCGACACCATGCCAAACGGGACCTCCCGGGACCATTACTACCCAAAACTGCAAAAAAACACTAGCCCTGTCCGCGGCGGGGGTCTCCCGTGGAGAATCTGGCCCCGATTCCCCACGGGAGACCATCCGCCGCGGACGGGGCCCGACACCATGCCAAACGGGACCTCCCGGGGCGGGTTTTCGAAGGGGCCCGACACCATGTCAAATCCAAGGCCCGACACCATGTCAAACGGGACCTCCCGGGACCATTACTACCCAAAACTGCAAAAAAACACCAGCCCTGTCCGCGGCGGGGGGTCTCCCGTGGAGAATCTGGCCCCGATTCCCCACCAGAGACCATCCGCCGCGGACAGGGGGCCCGACACCATGCCAAATCCAAGGCCCGACACCATGCCAAACGGGACCTCCCGGGACCATTACTACCCAAAACTGCAAAAAAACACTAGCCCTGTCCGCGGCGGGGGGTCTCCCGAGGAGA